ATATTATGAAATTTATAACACAATCTTTAGTCTCTAAATAACTTTCATTAAGCAGTAAATTTATACATTTTTAGTATAAATAAACATAATTAAATGATGAAATCTTAAAAAAACTCAAATTCTTAAATGAAAACAAACTTTAAATTATATATTTTGAACATGAATATATTATAAAATTTGGTATACAAGCTTTGTACTCTAACTCTATTTGAATAGTAAAAAAATAACTTTTAAAATTATATTTCATTAAAGAAATGCTTTTAAAATGATTTTTACTATTTGTATTTATTTTACTTCAAAAACTTTCATAAATTTGTAAATTTTCGTATAAATAAATAAATCCAAATTATTCGATGAAAACTTCAATTAACAAATGAAAGCAAACTTTTAATTCTATTTTTGTACATGAAAATGTTATGAAATTTATAACAAAATCTTTAGTCTCTATTGTATTTATTTCACTGCAAAAACTTTCATATAGCTGTAAATTTTGGTATAAATTAATAAATCCAAATTACTAAATGAAAACTTGAAAAAAACTTCAATTAACAAATGAAAAGAAACTTTGAATTCTATTTTGTTAACTGTAAATATTGAAAAACCATAAATAAATAGATTTTAAAACACTTTTTTGATTTCTTGATGTTATTTGAAACAAATATTTTAAATAATTGTCTTTTGCAACGACTTTACTTAAAACTTTATATATGTAAATTTCAGTATGTACAAATAGTAATAAATGGAGATAACTTTTAATTATATAGTAACATGTAAGTAAAGTTTACAGTTTTTAACTCGCATAAGTAGTGAACTTTAAATGTTTGTAATTCTTATAAATCAGTAAATTAATTAGATCGTTTCATGCATTATTATTGCAACTAAAATGCACACGATATTAAATTTCCATTTACGAAACGCATTCGAACTGTTTCGAGCGATTTTACGACTCTATAAACACAATAAAATAAAAATTTCTGCAAAACTGAAACCGTAATTGGCAATAGTTTGTAGATAAAATGAATTGAAAATAATGCAGAGAAAATCATGTAATAAATAAATTGATGATTTTCATAATCGTAAAGAGAATGCGTTCACTTCCTCCGAGTTTTACTATTTAATATAAAACAATTCTCGCCTTTCCACAATACAGAAGAAACTAAATGACCTTAATATAAATCCGAGGATGCGTGAAGTGAGTCGTTCCACCTGCAATTCTTCCTCTATTTTGACACAATTTTGTCCTTTTTTTTGTACAATTTCTCATCGATGAAAGCCAATTATAATTCAGATTTCTTTCTCTCTGTCCGAGCGAAACGAAAGTATAAAAGGGCATTCACGTGTCTAGCCTGATTTGATAAGGATCGACACGAGATTAGCTGACAAAACTAGTTCTGGTTTTATATAGATGATTTTTACAAAGGAGAAGTCAATAAATTAACTGTATTTTCAAATCAAGTTAAATGGAAGTTAAATTATCTAAGTTTTTAGATCATAGTTAAATATTTCACTTTTCAAGTAAAATAATACAACTTCTTTAGTCAAAAATAAGAGTTAAATTATCCATATTCTTAAGACACCAAAAGAATTAATTTATTCATCTTCTCAAGTAAAATAATGAGTTAAATTATCCATTTTCTTAATTCAAACAATAGTGAAATTATCCATGTTTTTTTTTATCTATTTCTTTTTCCAGTCAAGAAAACTATAAAGAAATGGTTAAATAATCCATTTTTCAAGTAAAGTAAGGAGTAAAATTATGAATTCAAAAAAAGTGTTAAATTTTACATCTTCTTGAGATCTATTTCTTTTTTCATTTAAGAAAAGTACAAAGAAATGGTAATCCTTTTTTCTTAAGTCAAGTAATAGTAAAATTTTTCATTTCTTTCCAGTCAAAAAAGAGTTAAATTATCGATATGACTAGATTTTATCTAATGGCTAGAAATTATCTATTTTCTCTAGTCATAAATTGAGTTTAATTGTCCATCATCTCAAGTAAAAAATGAGTTAAATTATCTACTTGTTTAAGTAAAAAAATAATTAAATTATCAATTTTCTTCAAAGAAAGAGTTAATTTATCGATCTTCTCAAGTCAAATAATGAGTTAAATATCCATTTTTTCAATCAAATAATAGTGAAATTATCCATGTTTTTCAGTTAAAAACCGACTTAAATTATTCATCTTTTCGAGTTATCAGTTCTTTATTTATCTATTTCGTTTTCCAGTCAAGAAAACTACAAATAAATGGTTAAATAATCCATTTTTCAAGTAAAGAAAGGAATTAAATTATCAATTCAAAAAAAGAGTTAAATTTTACATCTTCTTGAAACACCAAAAGAATGAATGTATCCATCTTTCCAAGTAAAATAATCAGTTAAATTGTCCATCTTCCCGAGTTACCAGTAAAATTATCTATTTCTTTTTTCAGTTAAGAAAAGTACAAAGAAATGGTTACCCATTTTTCTTAAGTCAAATAATAGTGAAATTTATCATTTCTTTCCAGTCAAAAAATAGTTAAATTATCGATATGACTTGATTTTATCTAATGGCTAGAAACTATCTATTTTCTCTAGTCATAAATTGAGTTTAATTGTCCATCATCTCAAGTAAAAAATGAGTTAAATTATCTACTTATTCAAGTAAAAAAATAATTAAATTATCAATTTTCTTCAAAGAAAGAGTTAATTTATCGATCTTCTCAAGTCAAATAATGAGTTAAAATATCCATTTTTTTCAATCAAATAATAGTGAAATTATCCATGTTTTTCAGTTAAAAACCGACTTAAATTATTCATCTTTTCGAGTTATCAGTTCTTTATTTATATATTTCGTTTTCCAGTCAAGAAAACTACAAATAAATGGTTAAATAATCCATTTTTCAAGTAAAGAATAGAGTTAAATTATCAATTCAAAAAAGAGTTAAATTTTACATCTTCTTGAAACACCAAAAGAATGAATGTATCCATCTTTCCAAGTAAAATAATCAGTTAAATTGTCCATCTTCCCGAGTTACCAGTAAAATTATCTATTTCTTTTTTCAGTTAAGAAAAGTACAAAGAAATGGTTATCCATTTTTCTTAAGTCAAATAATAGTGAAATTTTTCATTTCTTTCCAGTCAAAAAATAGTTAAATTATCGATATGACTTGATTTTATCTAATGGCTAGAAACTATCTATTTTCTCTAGTCATAAATTGAGTTTAATTGTCCATCATCTCAAGTAAAAAATGAGTTCAATTATCCACTTATTTAAGTAAAAAAGAGTTAAATTGTCAAGTTTCTTAGGACAAAGAAAGAGTTAAATTATTCATCTCCTTGAGATACCAAAAGAAATAATGTATTCATCTTCTCAAGTAAAATAATGAATTAAATTGTCTATTTTATCAAGTCAAATAATACTGAAATTATTCATTTTTTCCAGAAAATAAAAAGAGTTAAATTATCCACCTTCTCGAGTTACCAACTATTTATCTATTTCTTTTTGGAGTCAAGAAAAGTACAAATAAATGGTAAAATTATCAATTTTTCAAGTAAAGAAATGGTTTTAAATTATCAATTTTCTCAAGTCAAAAATTGACTTAAATTATAAAAAAAAGTCGTAAATTATTTATTTTCTCCAGTTATAAGTTGAGTTTAATTGTCCATATTCTCAAGTACAAAAAATTGTTAAATTATCAATTTTTCCAGTATTCAAGTTATTCAATTCATTTCAAGTCAGAACAAATCTTAAATTATCCAACATTTCAATTCAAACTAAAAGTTAAATTACATTTTTCTTATTATTTGAACTTAAGCAGTGACGCAATAAACTTTTCTTAAACGAAGAACAAAATTGCGTAATGAAAGCGAGAACGTGACTGTAGGGTAAAAAGACAAAATGATTAATTAATTGTCCATTTTTTTTTTTGGTAAAATTCTGATGTTGCGATGCGAATGCTTTTTCCACTAATTTATTCCGCGTTTAATTAATCATCCTCGCATTGCAGAATAGAACCGTACTTTTGGTTCCACAGTGGAGTGGCGGTGCTATGAAAGGATGATTAATTAGAGTTGAATTCGTATACGACGTTTCTACAATTTTGTAATACAATGCGAATATTTTGAATTGCTTCTTCCTTCACAATTAAAGCATAATTAATATGCGTATCTTTTCTTATATAAGGAAAGAAAGTCAGAGATTTATTATCGCTATTTTTTACTTTATTATGAAATTTTGCAACAAAGTAATTAATCAATGTTTATGTTGATAATTGTAGGAAACTTTTCAAAAGACATTAATTAACATTAATCATACTAGTTTACTAAATAAATCTAATTTTAAGAAAGTAAATTTTCATTAAATATAGTTTATTTATATAATATATTTTTGGTAGATTCTATTCTAAAATGTTGTCATTTTTTACATGAAATTTCACCAATTACTGTTAAGAAAATGTTAAGAAATGACTTGATAAATTAGAATGCAAAATTTACGATATTAATTATAACATTTTAATAGTTTATACATGAATGTATTGTATTAATAACCATATTTTTATATAGTTATAAAGTTATAAACTAATTCATTAAAAACACAAGAACTTCGTAATATAAGATAAAAGTTTATTTTATACTTGACTGTTTTATCTATACTCATTAGAAGTTGGAAACACTTTAACCAAATAAAAAACCTGTTTTAATCACCAAAAAAAGAAATGTACATGGAAATAGTCAATTCTTGAAACGTCCAATGTATGCAGATTAAAGCGTTTTACGATCAGTAACTGTGGAATAAGAGTTTGCAAATGAAGATGTAGATGACTTGAAATAATGAAAAGAACGAACTGAAAAAAAAACAAATGTGCAGTAATTTTATTACGTCAGTTCAAATTGAGTTGTAAAGATTAAGTGTCGCAATTGAAGCAATCAAGAGATGCGTAAATGGTGACGTTAAAAGGCCGTTTGTGTATGTATACACGTTCACTAAATATTGAGAGAACATTCGCACACTTCCCTGATTCATTACTTCTCAATTGACATTTATTATTCTCATAGTAGGCGTTGTTTGCAACTATTCTGTACGTGTAAAACTCGTGCTTGAATTAATAGGATTTTTGTTGGTGTTCCTCAAGGAAGTGTATTGCCCTTATCGTTGGACAAAAGCTGATTTCGGAGGCGCATGTGGCTCTTTCATTAAGAATTTGCGGCTCCCAGCTTTCGCAGTAGTGGTAAATTCATTTTATTAGTAAAAAATAGTGATTGTAATGCTACGTGCGGCTCCTTAAACTTTATTTTACAGGCAAGTGGCTCTTTGACCCAAAAACGTTGATTTTGTATACAAATAAATCAAAATCATCTGTATCAATCATTTTTAATATTGAAATATTGTAATAATTATAACCGAAAAAATCAATGCAAATCAGAATTGATGAAATTAACTGACGAAATTAAAAAAAAAAGATAATTATAAGAAATGAATATTATATTTTTTCGGTTGCCTGTTTGCATCGTACTGTTGATTTATCTTTGCCGCTTGTAAATTATAATTAATTGCACGTTTTATCGGTTTGCAACATGTGTAACGAGTTTGCGTTTCATAACGGTGAGCTCCAATAAATTAAATTATTGTAAGTACAATTTAAACTTTCTCATTAGGTCGTTACCCATTTTAAGTTCTGGCTAAAACAATGAGTCGTTTCTTAGTGAGCGAGAGACACCAGACTTTCTCTAATGGCTTTTTTACCTTTATAATCAAATTTCACATTCGAATTCAATAAAATAAAGTAGGGAAATTATTTAATATCATCAGACATATTTGTTTTTTTTTTTAATTTTGTAAATTTGCTTTATATATCAATGAAACTATTACTTAAAGTAACTATTAAATATTAGAAGTAAAATAGTAAAAAGAAACTTTATTTTCGTTAAATATACAAAAAAAATACAAAAGGTATTGAAGTTTGATGTACTTCTTAATAGTACCAAAACTTGGGTCAAAATGATACCTAAATATGGTACTGAAATAAAGAATAAATTATAAAAACTTTCGTAAATTTACAAAATACATTTATTTATATCTATTATGAACATAAAAGAAAATGAAGAAATTTACGATAATTATATAATTTCATGCATGAATATGTATATAAACGTACATAAACATGATTTCTAAATAAGATATCCTATTGTGTTTACTAAATTTCTTACAAATTATTAAGTTCTTAAATATACGCATATTATTTATATTTCGAACTTTTGTTCTGTTTACAGTTACTTCCTTAATATTTTTTGAATCTGAAATTATATTTGTTAATGTGTTTTCTGTATTTCCTTGACCAGAAGAAATGAAGTCTTTACTTTACCTTTAATATAATAAATTGTTTATCATATTCTTTAGAATCTGAGACTTTCCAAAAATATAACGTGCCGTGTTCGAAAGCTTCTTTTATTTTATCCAAATCCGATTTATTGGTAGTACCAGTAGTTTCTATTCGTTGGTTTTCCAAATCATTCGAAACTTGATAAAAATCTTATATTCTACCATTAATCAAAATAATTTTGTCTTCGCTATTCGTGTATGAAGACTCATATTTATCGGTTGTTTAATAATATGTTACATAGCTTATTAGGAACACTTTTCGTCTGTGTTATTTATTTTTATAATAACTTTTATTTCCTTGGCATTATTATGGAATTTCTATAATTTAGTGCACTCATCTGGACTTATAAGACTGTCCTGTATCACTGAACTAAAAGATGTAATAACAATGTAAATTCCCGCTATGCATCTTTGTTTCCAATCATGTATGTTTAAAATTAACCCTATTTATTTCATAAATATTAACGAAACTCAATTCTCACTTCTTTTGTATCGATTCTCTAATTTTAAGAGAATATACATTGATTAGTTTTCAACCAATCAAATTGATTGGTCTCGGTAGATCAAGTTGGCTTTTTAAATAAAAAAAGTATTTGGAGAAGTAAATACTGAAAAACATCATTGTCAGAAGAGATAATTGGCATGTAATAATGTTTTCTTTGAGAAATTGTAAACCAAATCGAAAATTTATAAAACTATTTATTAAAAATTGAAAAGAATTTTGTTAAAATAATTAAAGAATATAGAAAATATGTGTTTCTTAAAAAGTAGATTATTTTTAATATTAAACTTTTAGAAAAGTGAAAGTAATTGTAAATATTTTTTGAGTAGTTGATATTCATTAAATTGTGTAATTTCCGTACAATTATGATATGCTATGATGATACTTAATAATGTACAAAGGGCAATAGATTATTTTCAGAATAATTTATTGTATTTTTTTTTTGTAAAGATTGACAAAGAAACGAATGTGAGAGGTGCAAAATAATAGGATAAAGTGCATTGTTCGACCTTTGTGCGAAATGAAAAATAACAATATAAAATGCGAACGTGATTGGAAGGTGTTTACAAAAGGTTGGCTTTTGTCAAGTAATGTGATCGAATTGGCGTGAAGCGAATAGAATAACAAAAGCTGTTGTTTCTGCGATTTACGATATCAAAGGGGGGCCGATATTTAAAAAGTGAAAGAGAATAAAAAAAAAGAAGAGAAGGAAATGAAGGCGAGAGAAGTAAATAGTTATGTGCATTGATTCCAATCGAATCTAATGGTAGGACATAAATCCAGTTCGGACGGAGAAGCCGTGGGGCGCAATCGGTCTTCATTTAAATAAATTAAGATTAAATTTAGATCGAGAAAAAAAAAATAAAAAATGAAAAGAAAGAAGTCGACGATGAAGAAGAAGTGAGGATTCTTTATATATCTGCGTGCCGCAAGATTTAAATATCGCTACCGAGATACGAAGATACTTTAAAGTCCGGACGTATTTGATACGATTTTAAGTGTTCTTCTCGTACGTTTTGACACACATAGCACAACCACGCACTGACATAAATCATCCTAATTAACAGCATCCTAAATACTTATTTTTTTTTGTACCTTGATAAACAGATAATTAGCATATTTGAAAAGTCCAGTTAATTCTGATCGGTCGCTAATAAAAAGAAATAAAATTTAATCAAAATGCAAGAAACTGTTTTTAGAACGATGTAGTATATATACAATTTTTAATTTAGAAAATGTTTGAAATTTGTGTACGTTCGTATGAACGTCGAGTACTAAGGACTAAGATGAATGCATGTAAAGCTTATCGCTTAAATAATTTGTAGAAATTTTAAGATGTTTTGTTAAAACTTTGATAAGTTCAGTATTATCAAAAAATAAACTAAATTTGTATAGACTTCTAATTATAAATATTTGTTTTAAGAAAGAAAATCAATAAACTTAGAAAGAAAATAATTTGACATTTGAACTGTCATTATTGACATCTTTGACAATTCAACAAAATGATATACAAAAATATATATTTACACACATTTCATTCATAACAAATGTAAGCTTTAACTTCACTTAGTTATATAAAATTATTATCAAAAAATAAACTCTATTTGTTTAGACTTCTAATTATTTGTTTTAAGAAAGAAAATCAATATACTTAGAAAGAAAATAATTTGACATGTGAACTGTGATTATTGACATCTTTGACAATTCAACAAAGTGATATACAAAAATATATATTTACAAACATTTCATTCCTAACAAATGTAAGCTTTAACTTCACTTATTTATATAAAAGTATTATCAAAAAGTAAACTAAATTTCTATAGACTTCTAATCCTAAATATTTGTTTTAAGAAAGAAAATGAATAAACTTAAAAAGAAAATAATTTGACATTTGAACTGTCATTATTGACATCTTTGACAATTCAACAAAATGATATACAACAATATATATTTACACACATTTCATTCATAACAAATGTAAGCTTTAACTTCACTTAGTTATATAAAAGTATTATCAAGAAATAAACTAAATTTCTATAGACTTCTAATGCTAAATATTTGTTTTAAGAAAGAAAATGAATAAACTTAGAAAGAAAATAATTTGACATTTGAACTGACTTTATTGACATCTTTGACAATTCAACAAAATGATATACAAAAATATATATTTACACACATTTCAACAAATGTAAGCTTTAACTTATCTTAGTTATATAAAATTATTATCAAAAAATAAACAAAATTTGTATAGACTTCTAATTATAAATATTTGTTTTAAGAAATAAAATCAATATAGTTAGAAAGAAAATAATTTGACATTTGAACTGTCATTATTGACATCTTTGACAATTCAACAAAATGATATACAAAAATATATATTTACAAACATTTCATTCATAACAAATGTAAGTTTAAACTTCACTTATTTATATAGAAGTGATTGTTAAAGATACCAACTAGTGTATGCTCTGAAAAAGTACCTTAAATCTGTCGATTTAAACGAACATATGTACTTTGTGCGAACAAAAAAAAAATCTTGAACGAAAGCTTTCGATGTCCGATTTGTTCGTAATCCGTACTGTTAGTTTACTTTAATAATTACCAATAAGATACGAAATATTAATACTAAAGTTTTCTAAATTTAATGATAGTTTCAACTGAAAGCAAACAACAACAAAAAAAAGAAAACAAACTGTACACAATATTATTGTATTTTTTCTCTTATTTTATCTGAAAGTATTTGTTCCGAGTACTGGAAAATGATGGGAAACGCCGTGAAAGAATGGTCCAATTAAATTAACACGTGTTTTCCGCGCACGACGAGAGAGAACCGGATTTTCGCGGAACGAGGAAAGTTCCTCATCGGTTTTTCTCTTTCTCTCGGTTGAGCGATGAATTTCCTTGGAGCAATAAGCGCAACCAGATTTCAGAGTCGCCGTACGTTCGCGATTCCCCTTAGAGAACAATGTCTCTCGTTTTGCCTCTTTCTTATTTTTTCTTTCTTGTTTTTGTTCTTTTATTATTTGTTTCTTGCTCAGTCAGAGTATTATATGGGAATTAAGTGAACTAAAGTTCAAACGGTTATTTGCATTGCTCTTCCTGCATGCCTCCATTCAAATCGTTACGTACAGTTAACGTAAATGAAGGATTTATTACGATTCGCGTAATAATGATGATTAAATATCGCGAAAAATTCGCGACGTCCGTTTAACATAATCCCAATCCGTCCATCTGATTCATACCAATAATTAACGTACTTTGAAAATTATCCGCTGACAACGCCTTTCCTCATCAATCCAAAACCTGAAATCTAATCACATGCATACACACGCATCAACTGTTAATAGAACATTGGTATTTACATCGAAGTTTCTGCACACTCTGAAACGGAAATGCAGTAATCATGATTAGTTATAGATTCATATTTAAAATTGAATCGATTACTCTAGAATTTATGTCATAACATCTATTCATTGGTAATTATTACAAAAAAAGAAATGAAATTACTTAATCAAATCTTAAGGTTTCAATTTTTATATTTTAAAGATTATATCAAGTACCGTTAACGTACTTTTAACGTATAGAAAATGTCCATATGAATGCATTTGAGATATATTTTTAGTTCGCACGAACGTACTTTAAATTAACACAAAATGTACACAGAAATAGATTCATACTTAAAATTGAATCGATTTCTCTCTCTACAATTTATATCATAACGTATATTCGTTTGTAATAAAAAATGAAATTGTTTATTCAAATCTGAAGGTTTCATTTTCTGTGATGTAAATCTTGTATTAAGTTCAGTTAACGTACATGAATTAACGTACTTTTAACGTATAGAAATATTTAATAAATACTCGTATTTCATTAACCGAAATCTTTGGATAATTTCTATCATTGATATATTACAATTTAGTTTTCAAGTGTTGGACTAATCGTATAAATTGTGTAAAATATCATTAATTGAAAGTATCAGCGACCATAAATTAACGCGCCTTCGCAAAGATACAACGAAACATAATCAAAAGAAAAAAAAGTAATGCCGTTAAATTTATGGATAGAACGAAGGTGGTTTTTCCCCCATTGGAATCGTTAAATTGATGCGTACATCCAGACTCGTATACTAAATTCGCGTCGGCCGGAATATATTTAATCCACATGCTTAAGCTTATCTCGTTGATTTAGTCGCTCATTAACGTGCATTAACTTCCAAGATTAGTTCTCGGTAGGCGTAGTTCGTGCACTTTATGTTCATCCTCGGACTTTCTTCGAGACGGAATCAAAAAGAATTGTGAAAACACGAAACGAACGTAGGCATATCGACGTTAATAAAGATATTAATTTACTGTGAAAGAATTCCGTTTCCTCAGGGAAAAAGGAATCGTTTTGTTCATAATGGATTCGTTAAAATGTATGTGATTTGTAAACGTTACTTTGAAGTTAATTGTTTGTTTGTGGTAAAATAAAAAACGAATGTTGATGTGGAATCTGAGGTAAATGAAGGACTTCGTAGAGGTGGGCTTCGGCCTCGAACCGTCAGCAGAACCTATCAAGTTTGAATGAAGAATGAAAAGATAATTGCAGGTAAAGCGGAAATGGCTTCAATCAAACTGGGGAACAGCAATAATAACAGACCGTTTGCAAAATCACGATTTTTGTTTCCAATAGAAAGTTGAATACCCTTAGATTCGGAAGTAATTAAATTTAAGTGTTTTAGTGCAAGATGAAAGAAAAAAATTGTTAAATTACAATAAAAAAAAACGATTGATTTAGATTCAACATTTTCATGGCGCGATTTTAACATGCGAACGAAATAGCTTTAATTAGCAATAAAGGAAGGAACATACCTCGGCGAACCATAAAATGTTTAAATATAGATTTTATGCAAAAACGAGTCCCGATTTATCGCCATTATCGTTACGATTATTTTTTTATTTTTTTTTCAACGATTACTTTTGACTCGTTTTTTCTCCAACTAATTAAATTGAAAGTTAATCTTTTATTAATTTTCCATCGCGCGTATTTATCTCCTCCGCTCGCGCGCAATTAAATTTAATTAGGTAATCGGCGGTGTGGACGAAACGCAATCAACGATCCGTTAATCATTCCGAACGATTGTTACAAATGATACGACTTCGAAGTTAATTATCCGGGCGGAAGGAAAAAATTTAAAGCTGTATAATATATTGTAATCATTCGTTTAAGTTATTGGGATTGTGAATGTTTTTGTTTCGTTTCGTTTCGATTCGAAACGTGCGAGTTTGTGTAGTGATGAGAGTAACTTGTAAAACTTGGTTTTCAGATGGCGCAAAATAAGTTGGTAGGACCACCGTTTCTGGGAAAGAGGCAGTTCTTCAACTTGTTCATAACGCTACTGTTGGCCGTTACGGAAGCCGCGAGAAGATCATCGCCTGCTGGATCATGGCTGTAAGTATAAATGTCTTCCTCTATGCAATTTTTACTCTTTTAATGTCCGTTTTCTAAGAAATCTATTTATAAATTATGTAACATTAAAATTAGTTTTATATGAGATATTTTTGTTTTCTTGCTTTACTAGATTATATTAGATTCACATATCTTCTTAGTTTACTTGATTATTCAAATCTTTATCCAATATTAAGTCAATATTTCCAATTATCAAGATTTTCAATAATTAATTTGTAAATAATTTATTTAAAAATTTGTCCAAATTAACTACCATAGCTTTTCTGTTTAATTAATTCGTTATTTTTGTTGTTTTACAAGTTTTACAAGTTTTACAAGTTTTACAAGTTTTACAAGTTTTACAAGTTTTACAAGTTTTACAAGTTTTACAAGTTTTCACAATATATTATTGACTCAATATTTACAAATATTTTTCAATTCGATCTCCTTTCTTTTCGTGTAAAACCAGTTTATTTATTTGTAGATATTTTAAAATTCCGTTATCCTCTTTTCAAATATTTAATCATATAAAATTAATCAATGAATTCAATACCGAACTGTTCGTTCTCTTTTACTTTTCACTATCCAATCCAATAAAAATACGTGTTCATGTAGTTCAAGGTTTTATATTTAATACCAATTTTATATCATAAAATTAATTTAAATGTTATTTCTTAGCAAAAGCTAAGATAAATTGTAATTTCACAACATTGAGAATTATGCATCTCAAATGTAATAAATCACGGAATATTAAGAAATCAGGATGGATAAGTAATTGGTGGAATAAAGTATAGTAATTTATGTGAGTGGAAAATATGTACATTCGACTGGAAATTAAATATTATTAGAAATTTATTTAAATCCGGTCCGAGTCGGAGATAATATCGGTGCGTTTAAATTGGATAAACAGAAAACGTTTAGTGTGTTTAATCGTCATTAGCGCGACGAAACGAATTATAAATTCCAGCTTTTGGAAGCCAAACACTAAATATGTTCTCTTTTCCTTCCCCATTCTCAATCTCAATCTATGAAACGGAAAATCGTAGCTGCAGGGGTTCTCGAACAATTGCGGTAATAATTACAATACCATTTGGCATTAAAGAATTTCTTTCTCCACGGAAAAACTTCCTCGTCGATGACCTTTCAACTTGAATTATGCACCGAACACGGAGATCCTTGCACGCTCCTTGGGCATCGGTAACACCTTTTTACTTTTGTAATGAAAGCCGTGCCTCGGCTATGGTTACATATTCAAATTAATGCAGCGCCCCCCCGGCATCTGGGAACTGAGGTAGTTGATGGCCAGTTCCTCCTTAAGAGAATACCCAGCACCAAAACGCAATCACACACAGTATGAAATGGACTCAATTGATGCTAATAGTCACGAGATTTGGAACGGAATGGAATCACGACGCATCGTAAGGTTTTATTGCGTGGCGTGTTGCAGAGAGGAAGAGTCGGTGTACGGAGGTTGGAACAGGATGGCTCTCCTACCATGATGACTATAATTCACATATCTCCAGTCATCATTCATTGATCGGAGCGCAGATATCGGCATCGGCTCAGCAATGACTCGAGTGCAATATTTTAATACTCTTCCCGCAACAAAGTGTACAAAAAGTGTTCGTTCGAATGCATCGTTTCTTCTAATATACATACAAAACACACATTCGTCATAATTCTTCGGATCGTCTTTATAATAGCTTAACGAGATGCAAGAAGTTCGCTTAATTTATTAGCTTGCTGTTTAGCGTTCTGATTTATTGCGTTTTCAATTTATTCGAAATTTCACAACGTCAGTTGTGTGCGCTGAATTCAATAATTGCAAAGATAATTAACAGCAATTAAACGAGACCATTAATTATTCGGAGACCATCAGCGTTTATCACCCGGTATGAAAAACTAATTGTAATGTAAATACATACTTGCCCACTCGTTTCTCAAGGAGCTGTAAACGTTCACATGACGCACGCTTTGTTCTTAATGATTTATTTTACTTAAGTCTTGAAAATGGTAAATAATTAATAAGTACAGCTTCGATCAGTACGGATTCATAGCATTTATTATTTTATCTGTATAGTTATATCTCTTCAAATTGTACTGTTTATTTTTATGCTGTTTTAAAGTCCTCGATTAGTCCGGTTTCAAACAGTGCGGGATATTTGGTGGAACCAACCATTAACTGAATAATTCACGTCTATACTTCCCGTCTAAAACTCAGCAAAATCTACATATTTTGCAAAATCTACCAACTATACACACTCTACAAATTCTGAAATATCAAATTATACAAATTCTAAAAATTTAGAAAGTCTATAAATTCTGTCCAATTTCTACAAACTTTACAAACTCTCGAAATTTTATCAAAATTCTGCAAACTCTTCAAATTCTACAATATCTACAAACTCTTCCAATTCTGCAAACTCTATAAAGTCTACAAACTCTGCAATCTCTACAAACTATATAGTCTGGAATATCTGCAAACTTTACCAAGTCTCCAAATTCTGCAATCTCTCCAATTTCTACAAACTCTATAAACTCTCTACATTCTGCAACAACTAAAACTTTACAAACTCTACAAATTTTACAATTTATTCAAACTCTAGAAAGTTTATTTTTTTTTAATCTCTACTGATTATTTTTATACGATTTTAAAGTCATCGATTAGTCCGGTTTCAAACAGTGCGGGATATTTATTGAAACCAACCATTATCTGAAGAATTCCCGTCTATTAAGTTTAATTAAAATAAATCTAAAAAAAATCTAAAACTCGGCAAAATCTACATATTTTGCAAAATCTACTCTTCACACTCTACAAACTCTCCAAATTCTGCAATATCTTCAAAATCTAGAAAGCCTTTTGTAATCTTTACAAACTCTTCAAATTCTACAATATCTGTAAACTCTACACACTCTCCAATTTCCACAAACTCTATAAACTCTCTACATTTTTCAACAACTGCAAACTTTACAAACTCTCCAAATTTTGCAATGTATTCAAACTCTAAAAAGTTTAATTTTTGTAATCTCTGTAAACTATCAAAATTCTGCAAACTCTTCAAATTCTACAATATCTACAAACTCTTCCAATTCTGCAAACTCTATAAAGTCTACAAACTCTGCAATCTCTACAAACTATATAGTCTGGAATATCTGCAAACTTTACCAAGTCTCCAAATTCTGCAATCTCTCCAATTTCTACAAACTCTATAAACTCTCTACATTCTGCAACAACTAAAACTTTACAAACTCTACAAATTTTACAATTTATTCAAACTCTAGAAAGTTTATTTTTTTTATTGATTATTTTTATTGATTATTTTTATTTTTACTGATTATTTTTATACGATTTTAAAGTCCTCGATTAGTCCGGTTTCAAACAGTGCGGGATATTTATTGAAACCAACCATTATCTGAAGAATTCCCGTCTATTAAGTTTAATTAAAATAAATCTAAAACTCGGCAAAATCTACATATTTTGCAAAATCTACCAACTCTTAACACTCTGCAAATTCTGCAATATCTTCAAAATCTAGAAAGCCTTTTGTAATCTTTACAAACTCTTCAAAATCTACAATATCTACATACTCTCCAAATTCTGCAAACTTTATAAACTCTACAAATTCTGCAATCTCTACAAACTATAAATTCTACATTATCTGAAAACTTGACATGCTCTCCAAATTTTTCAATCACTACTAACTTTCTAAATTCAGCAATATCTGAAAACTTTACAAACTCTCCAAATTTTGCAATATCTACAATTTCTGAAATATATGCAAACTCTACAAAGTCTACATAATCTCCAAATTCTGCAATCTCTGCAAACTTTCCAAATGCTGCAATCTCTCCAATTTCTGCAATTTCTACAAACTCTATAAAGTCTACAAAGTCTCTAAACTCTTCATAATTACAAACACTACAAACTCTCCAAATTCTGCAAACTCTATAAACTCCACAAATTTTACAAACTCCATAATTTTTACACACTCTTAGTTATTTCTGTAAAAACTTTAAGTTTAATTTAAATAATTATAAATATACAATATTATTTGCAAAACTAACAGAAATTAAACCCGAGTACAAAAATCGTACACACAATTCTTTCTCTCTCACACACAACAACAATTCCAACCAAAACAATCTATCTAATTGTTGACCATTCGAATGCCTCTCAGTCGGCGTGATTTAATTCCCACGACAACTGTTAACCATCCATTGAACTGTCATGTAAGATGTCCGCGTACAATAAGAAACGAGTACGTACACCCAGTGATTTTTTTTATTATTATTATTATTTATACGGCCTTACAAAATTCCTCTCAATTATAACGTGGCTTTAATTTTACTGCCGTCCGATCTAATGGCTATAATTAAATTAACATAAATATTCGAGCCTCTCTGTTGCAATACCTTCGTGTGAATTATTTTATTGTCGGTGTACAAGATGAAGAAGAAGAAAAAAAAAACAAATTAAAGAACAAACTCACACTACATCCATTAGTGTGTTCCATCGTCCATTCATAACGATTCTTTTGAAAATGCGACACGGACAAGAATATTAAGTGTCTTTTTAGGGTTGTAGTCGTAAATGGGCCAAAGGTGTTTTCGAGATACATTTCGCGGTTGCTGGGAGGTTGTAAATCAGGTTTGGATTATTGTAGATGTCCGAAGAAACCGAGAAACAACGCAGTTTTTAATTTATTGCCCATCTCCCTTCGAATTCAGAGAAACTCAATAAACTTTGTTACTTGGTTGTAATTTACTTTGTTCGAAAAGAAAAGTCAAATTTTATGAGTTTTTACAACTATTCTCATTGGTTTAATATACAGAAGCTATTTTATTGTATTCAGAATAAATATTACCAAATTTATACCACAAAATAAATTTGTGTGTTCTTTGATTATCTGCATTTAAATAGGAGACAATCCATAAACTTTGAATCATCTTTGATGTTGATAAATTTGCAAACAGTTTTCAACTAGATTAGATGTATTTACATTAGTTTACTTAAAGTAATCTAAAAATTAAAAAAGATTCAATCTTTTTAAGCTGTAATCAAAACATTTACATTTATATCAATTGATTAATAAAAAATGTAACAAAAAGTTTTCGAAATTTAAGCAGTATCTACACAGGATAAGTGACGTCTTGAATTTCAATCATATGTTAATATGAGAAGATAAACTATAGCCAAGATTATATAATTCGATTCGTACGAAAGGAAATCGATAAAATAACAAAACGAGGATTAAAAACAACCGGACAAATAGTAAAATAAAAACACGTCCTAATGGATTGGGCGAGATAAAGTGGTAAAGGGTTTTCCATTTAATATGCAGATATCTTCTCTAATTACCATTGGAAGAGATTAGCGTTGGGGTCGTGCCGTCATTGCTAAGTGTCCGTTTAATTTCTTAATTAAACCGATTCTAATAAGCTATTCGAGGATGCTGGATTATCATAATTTCTAGATAACCGAAGGATTCGAGCGGTAACTTAAAAGGCCGTCTACCTTTTCCAAACCACAAAACGTGTAATTTGTAACAATTAATCATGTTTCCTTTTCTCTAAGTCCACCAACCAAATACGGAACAATCTTTACTTCACTGCTCAAAAATCACAAAATCTTCAGCAAAATTTAATTATTTACATAATCAATGCATAACTTGAATTGCTTAAAACTGATATCTTTCAAATGATAAAAGGAATAATTGTGAAAATTCTATTTGTGAAAATCGAAATTATATTCCACAAGGAAGTGTTTTTTTTAGATTTAAGAAAATTTCACAATATTTCAGTATTTCTTGGAACATGAAGAAAATTTGATAATAGTTAAAAAAAATAAATCTTAATGTAAATGTACGGTAGTAATGATCCACTTAAATTCTTCAAAACTACCATAGAGATTTGAAGATGATTTGCTCAATTTCGTGTTTTTTGTTGTTGTTGGAAGCCTGAAATTGCTTTTTAAGCGCTTCGAAATTATGAAATTAGCTTTCTTCTGGTAATAACAGCCATTAGTTCGTTGATTTGTTTCCTGTTTAAACACATGCCGTGCAAAGACAATTAGAATGCACCGATCTACCGCAGTTCCCGCATCATCATCATCCATCCTATACTTTGCTATTGTTGTTATATCCTCAAACTGCAATTCCTCTGATCCGTGCAAATCGAATTCACTGATAGTTCATCAATTTCGAATTGAAAGCCGTCCAAGAGCGAAGCGAATTTTGGGTCGTAAATCCTTTAAAAAAAAAAACGTCATTTCTTCCTTCCTCCATCTCACTCTACGCGCAATAGTCTATTCGTTGTCCGAGCTCGTGATTTCGAAAGTCGATTGTGAAATCGTGCGTGTCTGTAATGATTTCATTCGGTGGAAACAACAACAAAAAGTGTGAATATTAGTGGATGGTGCAAAGTAGACACACGAAAGGACAAAGCTTTTGCGTTCGGTTTTGTATCCGTATGTATTGCAGAAAACGATTTCACCGTTAATGGCGACGCTAATAAATCAACGATATTTATAACTGCTGAAATTGCGAACGTCGCTTATTATTTTCTTCGACATAAGCTTACTTACAAGTTCTGCTCGAACCGATTTATATGATACAGGTGTTCAGCAGTTTCATTATTTTTAATTAACTGATTAACTCACCTTCATTCAGATTTACACACGCAATTACCAAAACATACCCCAACTTTCACAACCTATTCGTTACATGCACAAACTTCTATGCATCAACGTGTAATGATAACATCGAAATTTCTCTTGGTTTTTGTTCAAATTATGTAACATTTATAACACGATCTTATTTAACGGCATTCTTTGTGCACGAGTAAAAGTATGCCAATTATTATTATTTACAATCTATTCCATTTCATTAAAACTGCTGACAATTAATCGTGTTTAAGCTTTCCCTTCATGTTATGAAATATCAATTATTATATATAAAAATTTACGTTTTATCTACTTGTATCTGTAATTATAATTTTAATTAGTTTACCCAGTGATTTCTAACCGAAATTTTCTGAAAAGTCTATAATTGTTGGAATGTTTTTATTGTTTAAATTAACTGAAACTTAATAAATAAATTATTTTGCATGATTTTCCTGTTATAAAAATAAAATTTGTATGCATTTCATGAAACAAGAATGTAAATATTTTTTATTATTATGAAATGGTTATAGCTGAATACAAATTTGATATTTGCAGTAACTAAAAGAGATTGCAAAAGAACGGTTTGTTGGGTTTATAGTTCAATCGTAAATCGTGTGGTTCAATACATTCACTCAAGGCGAAGGCCGCTTTCTACCATTTAAATATCAATAAAAGATTGGCCTCAAGCTTTGCTCGTGGCTAATAATATGTTTCGATGCTTTCGATACATTTACCATTATTCTTCGGATACATCAATACATCTTTAATGATTGTAATCTCAAATCAGATTTTATTAAACCATAGTTTATTTTTGCTGTATTCACTCGCATCTCTTTCTTCTCATTCTCATTTTATTAATTCCTAATCATTACTTTATTACTTTAATACCTATTGATTAAACTTAAATCACTAATTTGTTAATGACTATACAAAATATGATTATAATTATTAATGATTTTAAAAGAAATTTGTGATTCCCAATATAATTTTAATTGATTAAATCGTTTATTAATTAAATAATTAAAATTCTAATTAAAAACTGATTAATATGTATAAGTTCTTGAATATTTGCAATCATTAATATAATATAGATTTTGTATTGCAACATATTTGCATGCGTTTACAACGTTAAAATGAAGAGCAAGATGCGCTCTTGTACTATATTTACATTCCTGCGACCTTGCTTCTTCCTGCCACACTCAATCTAAACGCGTTTGCACAGGATGCACTGGGCCAAAGATCCTTTACATGTAAAGAATCAGCTATACAGGATAATCAATTAAGTTCCTTCGACGTACGCAGACCTTGATTTTATTCCAACCAGTTTTATGTAAATCAAACATATTTTCATGTTCCATTACTTCAGTTTTTTGTTTTAAATCACTCAGATTTATTCGAATTTTTAGTACATTTTGTCCATGCATAAGAAAAGTATCTTTTTGTTTCAACTTTCGTGAGTTTCATTATGAGAACGTGGAAATTTTATTGGTTTTGTTTTCTCTTTTATCCAAATTAGATATTACCGGTATTTGTTGTTAAAATTTATCAAAAATTTACGCAAATTGTGGAAACATTACGTTAAAAACATAAATAATACGAATATTTTATAATTAAACTTGATTGGATAATTGCAATTAATTTGCAAAGTGAATGTCGTGAGGGTATTAAAAAAAAACAAGAAACGAAAGAAATCGCTCGATAAAAGCGATTGAATGAATAGTAAACACACGGACGTCTCATGCATTTCAGATGCTTTCACATTTCCATTCGTTCGGGTCTCGACAAAAAGGCAATTATGAATTTTCATGAAAAATGCCGCTGCACGTTCGAGTCGGTCGCACCAACAAAAAAAACTGGTCCAGACTATAAATGAATACATGTGGACCAGATCTTTCTCTTTCTTTGTTTGTCTCCAAGTTTTGGATAGTTGAAATTGAAGTAATTCTTGTTGTTGCAGGAGGATGGGAATGCTGACGAGCGACGCTCTGAAAGGGGAGGAAGCGCCGGGTTGCCAAAATCTTCCTGGACTCAGTGTGGGTCAAAGCAGATTGTGTCAACTGTATACCGATCATATGACTCCGGTATCCGTGGGTGCTAAACAGGCTCTCCTGGAGTGCAGACACCAGTTTCAGCATAGGAGATGGAACTGCTCTCTTCTGGACGACGTCAACGTCTTGGGACCAGCCATTAACATCGGTGAGCAATCCCAACTCCACCAATATTATTAATAGGTTTCGTGTAGATGCTCTCCCACGAGGATTACCACGCTTCAATACTAATCCTCTCTAATTTATGTCCGTTTTGCTCAGTTTGTCTTCCACGCAATCGTGCCACGGATAATTTATCAATTTTCACAGTAGAATCAACATATTTTTCAACAATTTCATTCAATATTTTGTAACTACAACTAAATCAGACGCCGCCTACAATTGTCCACCTGCAATCAATTTCAATCTCGACAATAAATAAAACGATGCTAATAAAGATATATTATTTCATACCTCAACGCATAATTTGTCATTAATAAATTGATAATTCCTTATAAAAATAAGAAAATTTAGTGAAAATCGGATTAAGAAGACATTCCAGTTATATTATTAAGAATAGTAAATAATGCATTGAGTAAATAAAACTTTTAAATTTAAGGACCCTCGATTAATATTATTTGTGGGTCTCAACTTACACTATTTGGGTGCCTTTGGATAACATTTTTTGGGACCCTTGTACTGTTTGAGATCTCTTAAGTAACATTATTTGGTGGCCCTTTTTGGGGATCTACCCAATTTACCATCTTTTTTGTAAATTCTCTTTGTTTTGTTGTGATCGGGTCCCTTCGATTCAAAAAGAAAAATATAATAATAATAATGTTTATTGCATCAGTCGTACAAAAAAACATATACAGAAATAAAAAGAACAAAATATATATAATTTCAAACTTATTGAAAAGTAACGTTTCTTTTATGACACGCTGTTTAAGCGTAATTCCTACATATAAATTATATGGAATTTACACTATAATTAGTAATCAGTATTCAATTTAAGTTTGTCTCTGAAGATACTTAACAGTTCGTTATTTTCTAAATTAATTAAACTCGACTCAATTAAATATGCAGATATAAACGATGTCCACTATAATAAAAAAAAAAACAAAACAAACAAACAAAAACAGCCTATTACGATGAATATGCATAATTTACAGATTCAAAAAGAAAACAACATTTGATAGTGAAAAAAACAACAGCACGTTGTTCGAGCGTCAAATCAAATCGCAATTAGACGTCCACCTAATGAGATGCTCATGAATATACAATCGATTCGACACTTTATTACAAATATTTCATTGCGTAAGTATCCAATATTCAAAACGACGATGAAAGAAAACGATTTTAATTTTGAGGCGATTTTCGAATTGGAAAAAATGCAGTTGATGTCTATAATTCATTAGAGGAGAAACACGAAAAATTACCAATTCCTTGAACGCAACGTCGATAATGAATTTATATAATGTTAACACGAGAATTAAGCAATTCCGTGTATTCTGTAAAACGGAGAAAAGAATTCCCGTCGATTCGTGCTTACTTCTAGAATATTTAAACGTCTCGACACTAGGACTTCGAGAAATTTAATTAATCGTTGGGAATCTTACGCAAGAAATGCATTTTACAAATCAAGAATGTTTAATTTCATTTTTTTAGTTTAAATTATTGTAATTTTACTTCAATTATTATCATTTATCGATCATTTTCTTTCTTTTAATATAATCAATACAAATCCAATCTGATTTATCAACTTTTCTTTCACATTATTTCTTCTTTGAATTATATTAATTATGATATCCTGAAATCGCACTTGTCTCAGTTTTTTTTTTGCTTTTTTATGAGCGCGAAATTAAGAAGTTGCTAGAATGATAGCAAAAAGTCATCGTATAGAATTGCAAAATATTTCACATCATTATTATCAATGTAATATCAAATTTTATTTCTACTTTTTTGTTTCAAGATTTTGTATAATCATAAATCATTATGCACTTGCAACCTTATTATATTCAAATTTCAGTTTTAAATTGAATAGAACATATCATTATTTCAATATATATGTATACATATTATTTCGATTAATTCAATAGAAATCATACAAACCATCTCATTAGAAAGGCAACTGCTGCAACTATTCCAAAAGAAAAATGTTACGATGCACAATAATGAGTTTTACTGACTTGTTCGATGCACTCCGAACGTTTTAACTAACTGTTTATAGCTTTTTCCAGTTATTTACTATTTTGTAACATTTATAATACTTAACCTTATTATCTTTACTACATCAGTGTTCGATTTAACATAAAAATTACAAAAACAAAAAGTTCAAATCAATTGCAACATTTGCATTACGCAATTACATTTACATAAATTACGTTGCGAGAAATAATAATTCATTAATATTTCACTTATTTAGAAAATAAGTGAAATATCTTACAATAAATTTAAGTGCATTAATTGTGAAAGAATAAATAATATAGGCCACTTTATTTGCAATGTATTTAGTACTTAATAATAAGTATAGGTGCGCCGTTGTCATCAATTTATTGACAAATTTAAAGCAATTATTATTTTTAAATGTGTGTCACAATGATCTGATGTTTTTTTGTACCCTTTTTGCAACAAAGTTGATTTAATTGATGAAATCAAAGGAAAATAAATAAGGACAAAACTTTGAGAACTTTTTTAAATTAATATTCGGTAAGTGCTTGAAGTTAATTATATTTTACTTTTAAATTATGAAACGTATACATTAAACGTTCTTGAATTTGACAATTTATGACAGGTGTACTGGTAGCTTGCAAAATTTAATTTATGAGTAAAGATAAGTTCGAATTTACTACAAAATTGAAACTGTCAATAAAAAAATAATTTAATTGACGAAATCAGAGGAAAATAACTTTGAGACTTTTGAGATTTGGTAAGTGCTTTAAAAAAGTGTTTAAAATTATAAAACGTACATATTATATATGATGCACATTTTTGTATTTGACAAATCATGACAGGTGTACCAATTTGGAAATGCTTATAGGTTTCTTACTATAATTGGTAATAATATGAAGTTTGCAGTTTTTTTTATAATGATTCATTTTGTATTTAACTACATAATTTTTATTGTAAATATATTTATTTTAATAACAAAACCAAGAGATTTCTTAGATCTTGTAAAAAATGCAGCAATATCACGCATAGTCCGGAAATGGGAATATAATGGCAGTAAAACAAATTAATAACAACCGTAGTCAAACCTAATTTAATCAAACTAAACCTAAAATTATTTAATAGGATATAAGAGGATAGTGAGAATCAAATGTAATAATAATAAATTTACAGAATAATTTTTAATTGAATGAAATTGATATGGTGATAATGTGTGGCAGAGTGTGGATTAAAATATCTTCGGTGTGAAGATATGGGCATCGATGATATCTTAAGGCGTACATTAAAGTATACATCCGAGGATGGCTATGTTAGGCTCGTAATTGTTCCAATATAAAACTCGGTTCGAGCGCGTTTATTTATGGAGTTGTTTAGGTCTGCTAAAACAAGCCTAGCCTTTTCCATCCAACGTGCAGGGTCTCGAGAACAATGGTGTTTATTTAAAATATTCGCAAGAGACGTTATTTCATTTGCCAACCAGTTGAAGAGGAAGGTAAGAAAAATGCGTGCGCATATTTTATCCTTCTGCTATTATATCGAGGGCAACGACAAACTGCCTACAAAACCAGATCGAAGATCAACATTTTAAAGAGAAATGCATCAAAGAGTTGCGACGATGCAAAAGAATATCGAAAACGCAAATAATAATAATAAACGTTTAATTTGTCGAAGAGAGATCCATTGTTCTGTTTGCATTTTAACTGAATGCAAACATCTTTCGCCGCTTCTTTTGGCGGCTTAAGAACAAACGTTGGACCGTTGACCGAAAGCGTTCACACGGATTGAAATGGAGTTAAGCAAGACCGGAAACGCGGTAAAAGTTCGACGAATCTCCAGTATTTTAACAGAATTGATGTATCAAACGATTACCTAATCTTGTTAACTGTAAGCACGTGCCGTTTCCTGTCTAGGTGACTAATTAAGATGTTTCTAATTTCCGTCGGAGAAAGATGACACTTACGACGAAGCTTTAAATGGCGTTATTATTTCTTCGTGCTTTCATTTTTGTTCCTTGACACGCTAGTTACGTTTTTCATACTTCATTACAAAATGTTACGAAATACTAGAAATTTTAAAGAAATGAGAATTAATAAATTATTGATATTTGGTATTAATCGGAATAAATCTGAAAATTAAATAATAGTTGCAAAAGTGTTTGAACTGAAAACTTGAGAATTAATTAATTAACGAAAGGGAAAGTAAAAAGTTTACAATAAAGATTTAGATTAATATTATTGGGAAATGAGTGGTTCAGACAAAGTAAATATTTAAGTTTGATTTGTTTGTGAAAGGTAAAAAAAGGTATTTGATGATAAATATGTGATGTCCTCAAGATATACGACGTACATGAGAGGTATGTTCGAGGTATTTTTGTTTGCTGCTGAAACGGTATCGTCAGCTTCTCGTCGCTCTAATAGATGGCGCGGCGTTCGAATGTGAAATTTTTCAATTTCGTTGTGCGAGGAACGCGTTTACATAAACAGGGGAGAGATTGTAGGTGGATAACGCGACGGGCATTTGCATAATGATGTGGAACAAATCATAGAATATACGAAGGGGACGTCCTCTGAGGCGATTTACTGCCTCGATGACACCACCTGCATTCGCAGCGAGATCTCCGAATGCGGACCAGTGTTTCCGCATTGACGATTTTACTAAAATAAAAACACTCCCATGTTTCTTCCTTCGTTAATTTTATTATGCATGCATGCAGCAGGGTGGTGTACGTTGTAGTTTAGTCAATTTGTGTGTAATCCCTTCGTTTTCCTTTCCAGCGAGCAGGGAAAGCGCTTTCGCTCACGCCCTGTCCGCCGCAGGAGTGACTCACGCCGTGGCCAGATCCTGCAGGGACGGACAGCTGCAATCCTGCGGCTGCAGCCGGATGGGTCGGCCGCAGGATTTGAGGAAGGATTGGGTGTGGGGAGGATGTGGAGATAACCTGGAGTACGGATACAAGTGAGTACTTGATTCATCGTCAGCAGACGTGGATCAGAAGGGAAAGGAAGGAGAGAACGTGAGACAGGGAAAAAAAGGGCATTGAGGATTCGTCTCAGGCCGTGCGGATGACGGATAGCTTTTGGGGTGGTCCACGACGTTTATTATTGCCGGAGGGGCTTTAGTTCCGCTCTCCGTGTGTCAAATCACGGTGCACCACCCACTGTCATTGTTACGCTCAGCTGATACGCTTCAAATCCGGATGCATTTTTCATCTTTCTCTTCTCGATCTCTTTTTCATCTCTCTCTCTCTCTCTTCTGGATCTCTTTTTCATCTCTCTCACACTTTTCTGTAATCCGTTTAAGGTGAACACCTGATCGGATTCCGAAAGGCTACGTCTTTAAAGCTGTTTGCATTTGCAGATTCACACAGGGTTTCGTGGACGTTCGAGAGAGGGAGCGTAAGTACAAGAGAGGAACCAGGGAACAAGGACGATCCCTCATGAATCTCCATAACAACGAGGCAGGAAGAAGAGTGAGTATTCAAAGTTTCCGTTTAAAAACGCACTGTCACGAATGACATGAAACAAGTGAACACCGCACAAACAAAATGCAACAGCGATTTTATTAATACTTTTTTTTATAAACTGTATTCACTTTCATTGGTATAAAAGTTCAAAACTTTACAACAAATTTTTTTATAAAAAATGGTATTAAAAGTAGTGACAAATAAATATTATTTTTATTTTATATTAATAAAAAAATTAGAATTTTTACAATTATACTTTAAAGATTTATTAATTCGCTAATAATATACAATTGAAAATAATCTTTTTAAATTTTAAAGTCTAGAATCTTGTCAGAAGGAAATAATTTATTTTAGAAATAAAAAGAATCAGGTCGAATTCAATAAATGTGTGTTGTAATATGTTTACTAGATTCTAATTTAGTTTACATTTATCTTATAATCATTAAAGAAATGTTGATTTATTCATGAAATTCAATTACTTAGATATGTTTCTACTCTCTCCATCTGCAAGCATACATTTCTAAGCAAATTACAATGTATAAATTATAATTGTATTTAAAGAGTTTTATGAATTCTATTACATTATTCAATGTATTTAGAACTATTTAAAAAAATATTAATGTTCTCCAAAGTGAGTTAAATAAAAGTAAATTAAATTATAGTTAAGATCAAAAAGTTTCTTCATTTTTAAGAATGCAATTAAAATGAAATAAACGTTATTTAATTATTTAAAACTGTAAGTTTACAAAATTATAATTACTTCTTGGTCATTTTGATTTTGATTATGATTAAGTATATCATTCATATATGAACTACAATTCATATAATTTTGATTGATAAAAATGATTCATGATTTTTTAAACGTCAATCAATTTTAGTTTATTTAAAATTCAACATTCGTAAGTTTTTCCTTGCTGAAACTAAATTTTGAAATGTATATATAAAATTAACAATATATTTAAGTGATTCAACTTTGTTAAGTAATTCCGTACATCATAAATGAGCTAATGAAACAAGTAAAACCAGTTCGAGCAACACTGTTATTGATTATTGAAGTATACTTTACGTTATTTAGGGTAATCTTGTTTGAGGTTTAATTTAAAAAAAAAGAAATATAATGTGAAGAAATGCTGTGAGTCGATGCACAAATAATAATTATATGTTATTGGAACCGCAAAAATTGCGTCCGAGGAACGAGTCTTAAGCATTGCAGACGTGAAACGTGTTTTCGGAAAGTAAATGAATGCAATTATATTTTTTTTTTAATTGAAAGAAAAAAGGAAAGGTTTCATTTTCACTTTTGTTATTGAAATTTTTCAATAATTAATTATATTTTTAATTACATTTTTATTTTATTATATAATTTTGTATATAATAATGAAAATAAATTCGTAATTTTAGGTAATCTTTTCAGACGTGAATTCACGCAATTTTGATTATAATTAAATAAAAAGTATTTATTTTAACTGATGCAATTAGAAATTTCATAAATTACTTATTTATTTTTTATTATATTAAATAAAATTTTATATAATAATGAAAATAATTTACTTATTTTAAGTAAACGTTGCTGACGTGAATGTGAAATTCATGCAAATTTCAGTCATTACTTATGATTTTGATTACAACTTTTTTTTTAAACTTATTTACCATACTGTAAAGAAATGCTTAAGAAATCCATGATTTTAAGTTATGTGTGGACTTTATCGTATTGAGATGAAACGAAATGTACTCAACTTTCTTATCTTGGATAAACGGAATATGAAAAAGTCCGCTTTCTAAATAATGAAAGATTATAGAATGGTTATGTAAGCAGAGGTTATTGAGCTGGTTGTGTATTAATTAGATGTTATCGGTCGTCATGGAGAGAGATGAAAGAAGTATAGAAAGAAGACCGGTGACAAAAAGGCTATGTTCTGTTCCCATGGATACGGCTAATATGGTGAATGGTATTGTGCAGTCAGTCAATCATCTGATCATGCGGATAGCGCTGATGATTTAGGAGGTAGCGATTTTCGTGTGATGCCGACGAGGAGGAGAATCAAATGGTCGAAGCATATCGAAGGTATCCATCGATCACGGATGTAATTGAAAATTGAACGCACACTCGACCGACGTTTAATTAAGATACCTAAGTAGATTGATTCCGTGCACTGTTTTGCATTTTGATTGCATTTTCTGGTCGCGTGATCCTGCCTCTTCCTTCCTCCCATTTCTTTTTATCCTTCTCCTCCTTCCAACCTATCATTTATCGATCAGCTCTGTACGTGCTGCATAAAGTACTTTTCAAGTTTCCTTTTAACGTTCCGAGAAGTTATTTCTTATTTTGCACAGAGAGCAGCATCTCTTACTTACTTCCCACAGTTCCAACGACCTATCACCAATTGTCATCTAATAAACTCCAATCAGCTTCTGCTTCAAAAAATTAATAGTTTTCATGGTAACGTAGGATTTATATGCACAGATTTTGCTAATCGTACTTTGATGAATTTTTCTTTGAAAACTTATTGATTCAGTTGAAATGTTGTTAAAATGTTGAACGTAATAAGAAAGTTTGTTGCTGTAATAATAAAGACAATAAATTAAAAGATTTTTCTTTTCGCAAATTGTATAAATCTACATATCCGGACTAAACGAGTTATAGTATCAATCATTTTTGTACTGAAGCAAATTACTTAAACCTTTTTGGACCTATATAATTCATCTTTAAGAATAAGGGTAATCAATTATTAAAAGAAATTTAGTAGAAACTATGCATATACTTCACTTCGTAAATCACGATTTCGTGTATGAATTAAGTTCAAGGGATGCGTTACGTTCGTAGCTGTCGATGTTAATTAAAATCCAACAAAAACAAGCAAAAATAGTAAACTGATCGTAAAGCATGTGTCTCGACAATGGGAATTACCTGCGGTAATGTTGGAAATTGCTCTTCGACTCAAACTCATTACGTGCACTATAATTTCGCGTTGTTCGGCATTTTCAGGTGGGGAATGAGACTGAGAGTATAATTGTCGTTCGTGGTAGATCGGAATTAATATTGACGTTGCTCAACTTTCAAAGGATTGGCAATTCAACGTCTTATTTATTGCTCAATCATTAACTGTTATTTGCATGAAACGTATTTCTTGCTCTGATTTTGTTTTGTAACCTGTAATAAGCTGTCAAAGTAAAAAAAAACTACTTTTAAACGTCAAAAAATCAAGACGTAAACATTCATGTATGTATTGTCAAATGTATATTATTTACGGACGAGTGGCGGATTTATTCGCCATACACTTTACATAGTAGTGGCACAATCATCCAATATTAGTTCTAAGCGAGGCGCTACAAGTATTTTTCAGACGGAGTCGTAATTACTTTTGATAAAGCTTTGGCTTTAGTTCTGTAGAAGTAGAAGTCATGTAACCAAAATACGCCACAACATAATAATGCATCACAATTCGTATATGTACGTTTTCTTATTTGTTTCAAGAAATTGTAAAAATCTATTAAGAGCATATTGTAATTAAACACTTTGAGCACAATGCTTCTTCGTTTCTAAACGCCCCCAACTACATGCAACGACATTGTAATATACGTGTCCTGTTAATTGAAGAGGAATTTTAATTAACGAAAAGGCAATTAAAGAAAAGCGCGAAAGTAAGTAATTATTATCCCCGGCGACTGTGATCTTATCACCGATGAAAATCAATTATAAATTACCATCACAATGGATCTTTAAACATTGCGCATAATTTCCTAGTTGTTCCATTGCACCCACACAAAAGGCACAGTCACAAAGACGAGAGCACCTCATTAAAAAATCGGAATCAACACATAAATAGAAATAAAAAGACGAGTATAAAAAAAAAAGCATCTACATCTATATATAATTAATAATCGAAAGCACTTAAGCTCTTGCATATATAATTGTATAACTATAAATACATACGGTAATTATTAATAGCCGATGTTATCGTTCCGACCAAACTGACTGGCAATCTTTATTTATTATTCGCTGACAGCCTCTCGCCTGAGAATCTTCAGCTCTCCTCTACTCAGTTCATCTCTCTCTCGCACGCATTATCCTCCTTAATCACATCTCTCTTTCTCTACCTTATCCTTGCAAGAATCCCTATCAAGAATCATCTTCTTTTTATTTTTACTTCGCTCCAAGAGTTCTTGATTTTCCGCACGTAAATTTATATCGAAGGCGTCGTGGGCAGTCGCTGAACCCTCGAGATCCGACTAATAATGACTTTATTAAGACTACTTATTACTCGGAATTAGGGGAAATCCGTTGTTGATGATGATGATTACGATGATGATGATGATGCGAGACTTTCTACTTCGGCCCATTTCGTCTCGCATTATGCACGTTTTTAATTTTTCTCTTCTTCTTTTTTTGTTTTGTTTTGTTCATTCTCTGTTCCAACTCTTCGGTTCCTGAGTTTATGGTCATGGCATTTTAATAAACATTCATCATATCCATTATGGAACGCGTATAATTATTTCATTATTTATTTATTCACGAAACCATCCATGGTTTTACATCAGGTATAATCACAATCATGCATGCACAATTACTGAAATATTAAATTCGTACATGTTTATTTATCCTGCTTTTGCTCCGTTTATTTTCTTCCCATCTCTTTTCCTCTGTTGTTTCTACAAGGAATACTATAATTTTTTTTTGCATGCAGACGCGATTAATGTTAATTTCGTGCAATATTTATTAAAGTCCCTCACATTATTTAACCGCCGCAATTTTTGCCCATTCAATTAAATGATACGTAATTATTTTTTATTACCAAAATTGCATATCTCGTCCGCACTGAATTACCGAAGACCGTAACATAAATCTGACCGATATTGAAACTGCAATGAACAACATTGTGAATTACTGCTCATTTAATTCCATTCCCCAAATTTATTTATTTACATCAGACGAGTTAACTTTAACTTAGTTTATGTAAATTTATATTAATTTAAAGTCTGCATAATTCCTGTATTTAAATTCTATTTTATTGTTAATACAATATTATTGAGGTATCATTTCTTATACTATAAGTAATGATGATTAATTTAGATTATTATTTTGAAAGTGACTTAAGTCCAACGCTTAAGTGTATCTTAGAGACTTAAATTTACAATTTCTATGAAAATAATTACCATAAATGGAGTTAAGTCACTTTCAAAATTAACAATTAGATTTATTATCAAATTTGAAAGAGCTCCAGTCGACATAGTTTAAAATGCTTGAAAATCAATACTCAATTTGTTTAAATTTAATAAAATGTTAATTGTTTTCTCAATAAAATTGTTAATAAGTTTTAGTAAAATTAAACTATAATAGATTAAATAGATTGAAAAGATTTATATGATAGCTGGGTGTTTGAGAAATGTAGCAAGTATTCATAGATTGTTGTGGTTTCTTGTCCATTTGGCTGTAATAGCCAAATGGTTAAGTCGCCCTACCCACGATTGAACCGGTGTCGGTTCGAATCCTGGTCAAGTCAGGTCCTTTGTGAGTCCCTTCGCAAGCACTGAGAGGGCTTACAAAAGATAGGGCCATCGTACATCACAGATGGACAGTGAAATTAATGAGGTTTAGCATATGAACCTTAAGCCAAGTCGATGGACAATGACAATGTTAAGGATAGCAGCAGGAAATAGTTGAATCGCAGAGCATCAATATACTACTGAAGTTAACCTACAAGACGACAGCTAAGCAACAAATTAAAAACATCAAATCATCATAATGGTTAAATTTACTCAATGTTCACATTGATGAACAGATTGTGAATAAAATTATAAGACATAAAAAAAAATTTGGCTGTAATTCGCGTTCAAATTTGAAATAATTTAAAAATTTTCATAATATTAGAAAAATTTCCCGAAAAAATTGCTGAATTTTATACATTCTCATCGGCTTTGTTCGTATTAATAAAAAAAACAATTGTTATTTAACATTTAAGAACTTATGAAAGAACAAAATCTCGGACTCAGTTGACTTTCTCTTGTAATAATAAAAAAAAATATGCTCTCGGTTTATGTCATAAAATAAGTTAATTAACTGATTTTAAGGTAATAATACAAATGTGGAATTTTAATGCGCTCTACTTAATCCATTTTAATTAAATTTTCTTATTAGATAATACAAATTAATTAGTATTTTAATTACACAGAAAATTATTAGTTTTATGATTGGAAATGAGAAAAAAGAAATATTTCAAATTTTGTATAAAAAGATTGAAATTTTCTATTTTGGTTAATTTATATTTTTGTTAGGAAAAAAAAAACATGTTTTGGTTTCATTTATAAATTTTCCTTATAACTTTCAGTAATGAATTTATACAATAATTTGTATATCAATAAATTTATTATGTGTGGGATTTCCATTAAATTGTCTTTAATAAATCGACCAGCTCAAATTTTCTCGTAAAATTGGTTGAAGATGAGTAATAAAATATATTTGGGAGAAGAGAGTTAATTATTAGTTCATAAACGTAGATTAATAAATTTTCATCTGCAATTAGAAAGTTAGTATTACAAAAAAAAACAGTATAAATCTTAATGTGTGTAATGCACGTGCGTTCTTCATCTCTAATGCACGTAAATTATCGATGTTAGAGTCGTATAAATATTGAACCGTTCGGTTGTGCGTGGGCAAACGAAAAGAAATGTACTTGCTAATAGAGTCGTAAAAAGTTTGTTGATCCACGTCCGTTTATGTAAATCCAAGGGAAACGGATCAACGAATTGGCGCAAACAGGGATTTGTCGTTGTCATGGGAACGTCCGAATTGCTCGTTTGGACGCCGACAAAAGGCGGTCGCCATCTGCATGCGATATCTGACCAATCAATCTTCTTACCTCCAATTAAAATCGCCTGTCCGTTCATTCGCGTTCCGGAATTGGCGAATTGCGAACGATTTATACGAAGTTATAATTAAGTTTATTAGAAGTTTTCAAGAACTGGGACAAAGAGAGCATTAATCATGGCGCACGAAAGCTGTGCGTTAATTCCTCCGATCGTTTGCGCCAATTTTTCCGCAGCTTCGACTTATCTATTCATCATAATGATATTTTCAGCGCACCCGAAGGTTAATTGCTTTCGATCACCTTATTTGCACTCTCCAGCACAATTCAATTAATTAAGATTGAGCAAATGTTCTTACTTTCTAATCCATTATTATTATATATATATCAACAAAAATCATCAACTTCAATACTTCATGATCTTATACACTTATTATAGATTAATGTCATGATTAATTATTATTTCATTATAAAATTACAAAATATTCAAGTAATTTTTTTGATTATATGTTTCAATTTTATTTTATAAAATATCTTTTTAATGAAAATATTTACTGAAAGATTTCCCATTAGGATTTTCATAAAAACATCAACGTTAATACTTCAAGATCTTATAATCTCATTCTATATTAATTTCATGACTTATTATTATTTCACTATAAAACTGCAAAGTAAATGTTTGATTATTTTTATTTCAATTTTATTTAATAACATATTTTTTTAATAAAAATATTTTCTAATATATTAGATTAGATTTATGATTAGAAATTTTTCATCAATTAAGGAGAATCCAATTAATTATTAATTTGTTTTTAAGAAAAAATAGAAAACAATCATAAATTAAAACATTTTTATTAAAAGAAAATAAACTTACTTTCAAGAATTTCTATTTTTTCTTTTAAATTAACAATTGTCATATTTTCCAATTGGATTTAATAATAAAATATTATAGAAACAAATTGTTAACTGTTATTAATCTTATAAAGAACTTACATTTTTGCAATGAAAGATTACAGTTCCGACTAATTAATTTTAAATGATATGATAGCAATTTTACAGTATTAAACCAATTAATGAATAGGAATTAAAAATTGTTACGTATATTGCAGAAACACTTATTTTAAATTACAGATATATGCAAATGTAATACACTTCAAGTTTATAACGAATATTAAACGAAGAAATTATGAATGTTAAAATAGTTTTTAACTGTAACTACCAATAATTTATTTAACATTAAGAGATTTGTTGCATTTTTATAAAAATATATTTACAATTAAAATAAATCACATTTTTTTTTGTACTCTTGAAATGATCAATTTTTCTAAGTGAATCAATAAATATTACTAAGAAATTATTGTTTACAAAAAATATTCAAAATTTCTAAATATATTCACAAACTCTTCCATTAATTTAAATGTTTTTTTTTTCTAAGTTGATAATTTTATAATAATGGTATTTTTCTTATATTTTTAGTAAAAACATTTTAATTTACTGAGATTATTATGAATATTTATTTGAATTATTCAAATATACTAAGTGATATGTTAATTTTTACATAAATTTTTCAGATTTTACTAAAAAGTTTATTGATTTTTGCATTATTAAAAGTATACAAATATAAACCAATTATTTGAATTCCAAAACTTTTTGTTGGCTTTAAATGGAACATTTATAATAATTAATATAGGTTTGAAAAAGTAATGTAATTGAATGCATTCCTCTTAGTATCGGCGTTATTATGAAAGACTAAATATGTGATTATTTTATAAATATGCATGAGATGTTAGGTGCATTCGTTTTGTTTCATCCACATTTAATAACGTGATTATCTCGTGCATTTGTGGAACGATTGAGATATCTTTTAGAATAATGGCGTGTCTTCTGAGACGTTCGAACCCGGCGGAAATATATAAAACTCATATAGAGAATAATTAAGAAATTATCTGGAAATGTAACGAGCGACCGGCGAGTCATTATCCCCCATCTCATGAAACCTGTTGCATTTGAATGAGCGTTTGTGTTCGTGAACGTATGAATCAATTGGAAATGGAATGCCGTGCATCGCTACTCTTTTAGTCCTCCGGATCTTGTCCTTAAAATGTGTGTGTATCTCTAATGTTCGCAGGCGGTGATAAAGAAGTCGAGGGTAACTTGCAAATGTCACGGAGTGTCTGGCTCCTGCTCACTGATCACCTGCTGGCAGCAGCTGCCGACCTTCAGGGAAGTTGGTAAGTACTGAAGAGACCGGTAATGCTCTTGGAAGATGAATATGAAGAAGAACGGAGAGCGGCGGCGGCTGCGTTGGAACAAATCACTTTGGCGGTGTACGATCAGATGAAAGAAGAGGTCTTCGCAGGAAGTGTGGTGGCCGCTCTCTCGCTGTTCAAATGTTTTCTTCCTTTATTTTGTTTTGTTTCTGGGGTGAGGAGAGGTCAAAACCGGACCGAACCGGCATCTTCAGACGGGGATGGACTTTTGCTCTTCCCAATTATCTGAACGTCGTGTCTTTTTGACTGCGCAGATTTCGTGGTTAATTACCATTTGCAATCTGGCTTCTCCTATTATAAATGTACATGCAATTTTCAAACATGATTTCATCTCATGATCATAAAAAATGTGTATATTTCAAATGCACAATTTTCATTCGTAGATTTTCATGTTTTCACTTTTGATTAATAATTTTCCAAATACGCTTGGACTAAATAATATAATGTTTCTTCGTTTTGACGTTGAATTAAAAAAAAATACATCATATCAATTACAATTTGATGCAAACTAATAGAAACCGTACTATGCAAGGTATTGCTGTAAACTGATAATTAAAGGTATTGTTTAAAAAAATCTGAAAAAATTGGACAACTTACATGAAATGAGACGAGGCGATTAGAGCAATAAGTGATTTGATATTTTACAGATTTTTCATCGATAATTGCATTTTACTGCTGATTGAAATGATCACACGTTTCCAAAGATCGATTTTGATTTAACGATCTGATGAGAATGGCTATGATAATGACAAAATATGTTTATTAGAAAGCAAAAGCCATCAAGCAACCAGTTTTAGGAAAATTGATTGCAGCTAATAGTAGCCAGGCAGGCGCTACCGGTTCTCATAATAAAGTAACGCATTCAATTTGTAATGCATTTAAAGTTTCCATTATCTTTGGCATCCGAAAGCTGTCCGAAACGCAGTTAATACCGAAGATAATAAATAGGAAGGCGTGAACGGATTTTTCGAGAGCGCAATTAGATGAAATTAAAGCCTTTGTAATTTCTGTATTTATGTGGCATTTGGACATCTCAAGATGCAGATGCATTGGATGATTTTCTTTATACGCTTCGAAGTGTTTATCGGAATGGGACAAAACTAATAACCATCATTAGTTGTATTATCCACGGTTGGTAATAAAATTGAAAAAGGGGCCGAAGAGATGGTGCATCATGGTATGCTATGGTATGGTAATGCAGCTCGTTTGTATTTATGTAGATTCGGACACTGGAGCGCTTGTAACTGACAGGTCATAGGTCATAACTTCGGCTAACAAGACGTCTCGATGGTCGAGCAACAAATACGTCTTCTCCAATAGCCTCACATTTCAATAGACGTTGTCAATACTGCGCTTTAGCGAAAACACAAACTCAATACAAACCAACCTTTAAAATAACAGTTTGTTAAATACGTCAATCGCTTGCACATTTAGTTACATATCTCCAAACTGATATAATCTATCAACTGTCATACTAAAATTAAAGACAAAATATCACAAGCATTTTGTTTAATTTCCTTAAATGTATATACAAATTTAATAAAGGGTGTCCCAAAAAGGACTTAAATTTTAAATTCGCCGCCATTTGTTTCACAGTAAAACCAGAGTAGATATTTTGATATGCTGTCATTAGTGAACATTGAGGATAAGTACAAGATCGGACAACGCGTAGTAATTGTAAAAAACTCACTTAAAAAATGTGAACATTTTACAATAAATCAATAAATTTGACTTCTTTCTTTGGCTTTATCTTAAGGATAGTATTTACATCAATAAACCACAATTCATAGAAGACCTCAAGATGAATTTCGATAACACATCACCTAAATTTCACAGTAATTATGTGAACATTTTATGGACAATTTCGTCAAAAGAGTGAACATGTACTAAAAAATTATGGGCTGTCAATTGTCAGATTACAAAACATCTGTCACATAACTTCCATATCAACACTTTCTAATAAAGCAATAATATTATCAATTATCTAATAAAAAATGTGTTTTATTAAAAAAATAAAATATCAATTCATTTTAATATTGAACAATAAACCAACGTTTCTCACGGCTAAACATTGGGTTAAGTTTTCTATGAGTAAAAAAATGACAGCTGTCAAACCGAGCAACTTAGCAAATGGGTCGCATTGCAACAAACTAAAATTAATTGTGTTTTTTTTTTGTTGTTGTATTGAAATTTCTTTAAATGTTAATGAGAAAATATCAATTCCTCAAGTTGTTGAGATTGTAGAAAGTCGTTGCGCTTTATGTAACAAAATAAATTCGCTGCTGGATATATTCCTTTGGTAAGAATTGAATATTCATAGTGGTAACATTCTACGTAAAATTTATTGTCGTCTTTCAATTAACGCGCAAACTCACTATACATAATAATACACTACATATTTCATGAAATGAAAGTGATAACTTGTATCTATTGAAGAATAAATAGGAAGTTTATGGAGGAAACTCAAAACGAATTTACAAATCTTACAACTTTTTTATACCAATAATTAACCTAAAAATTACAACATTTAAAAAACTTTCGTTTATTATCTTAGCTGTAAATAAAAATACAGATAATATAATTTATTTTTATTAAAGTGTAGACTAATTCGTAGAATTTACTTGCATGCCTAAGATATGATTCATTATTTAACCATTAGAATTGATTGCGTTTTAATTATCTTAAATAATAATAGAAGATCATTAAAGTACATTTATTAAGTATATTATTTAACGATCGGCTATAAAAGTAATGAATTCAATTTAATATTGTTACGTTACGTTACGTTTTAGTATTTCCTTACTCAATTAATTTGTCTAATTAAATAGTTTCCTCTAATAAAAATTGCAGTTTTCATCACCAAGTCATTGAATTAAAATTTCTATTTATTTCTTGAATTAAAAAATCATAATACAAATTTATCTGACAAAAATTACAATAGAATATAATTTTAAATCTCCAATTGAATTAATCATGAAATACAAATATCATCTGATAAACATGAGAGTTTTTAACAAATTACAATGTTAAAATCTCTAATTATTACTTGTAACGTTTGTAACTGACAGGTCTCACATTTTTATAGCGGTGGCAATTTTTATTGTCGGGATTTCTCGACAATCAAAATCTCGAAATTCGAAATCCCGACAGAATTAAAATCCCAACAGTATCTTTTATTATTTGATATTATGATGATATATTCATACTAAAGCTTAACAGTAAGAAATACAACATCAATACAAACCAACCGTCAAAATTACAGTCTGTTTATTTACGTCAATCGCTTTTACATTTAGTTGCATAACTCCAAACTGATATATCCATCAACTGTCATGAATTAAAGTCAATATTTTGACGTTTTAATCTTTTATTTTGTGTTCATTACGAATTAATTTAAAAAATACAAATATGCGTTCCTTTTTTTATTGGTCTTGAAATGACAGCTGTTATTTTTTTGTCAAAGCGAGAAACTTAGCAATGACAAGAAATCAAAATTTGAAAATATTATTTGTACTCGAAATTATCATAAAAAAACGTAATTTCGAAAAAAACTAATTATTTCTTGGTTTAAACATAAAAATGAATATGAATATTTATTATTTCTTGTAAGAACTTTTTTTTTGGGATTCAATTTTTGAAATTTGTCTCATTATTTTCTATTCTGTACTAGAATTACTCTTTAAAGTTAGTTAAGAAAATTGGAATTGATGTATGGAAATTAGAATTTTCTGAAATGTAACTCTACATCTGATGCATTAGTTACAAAGTTAACATGTTTTGTGCATTCGTTTGCGCTTGGGAATGCAGATTTATTGATATGTCGATGCATGTTTTCTGGAGCAGCGTTGTTATGCAATAATAGTTCGTATAGATAATCTTGGGATTTCGGTCGGTGAGAGGAGAGAGAAAGAGACGATCAGACGATGACCGGAATCCCAGTTACGTAATGAATGTCGGAGTGTCGTGCTTTAAGTGCTTCCAGAAGGAGAGCTACGAACCATTTCATCGAATCGCAGATACCATTCCAACGTAAATCGTATCACCACAAGATATTTCGATTATTATTACCTTGGCGATTTTACTTACTCGGATGTGCCGTAACGGGCGAGACGTAATGGCCGCAGAAGAAGATGTTGGTTCGCATTAAAGGAAACGCAGAAATGTTATCTGCCGCCTCATCAGAGATTCGTCTCGTATCATCATTTTCAGCGGATGCTGAAAATGGACCTCCGGCGACGCTAAATTATATACCTGCAATTCACAATCATTACACTTTTCTTCATCACTTTTTCTTTTCGTCTTCAACATTCAACTACAATAAAAAGTTAATGTACGAATTACATGTATTATGAATGATTTCCAACATAAATTCTGAATGTATAGACGTGTTTTTCTAACGTTTCATGTATAAAATTATTTAAAGTTAGTTTTTACTAATGCCAATAGACTCATTTTATTCCCAAATTATGTGTCTTTAGTATGTATATTTATAGATTGTTATAAATCTATAGATTATTAAGATATTTAAAAAAAAATATATGATTTGTTTTTTCGAATGTTCAACATTGTCTTACTTAAAGCTTCAAAACTATTTAAGAAGAAATAACAATAATATTCAAACAATGCAATGTAATTTGATGTTTAAATATGCTATAAACTGCATAAGACATAATTTATTAAAAACTAGTTGTAAGTAAGTAAGTAAACACGTTTCAACAAGTACATTGTGTGAATCGTGTGAATGCTTTCGAATGTAGTATAAATTATTTATAAACCTTTTGTTGCTCCATTGAAAAACCGTAAAACGTTGATTAACACTTTCCGTCTTGCGACGTATTCACGTCTTCACGGAACTGAAATAATAGCAACAATAGTTAAGTTAGGCATTTGCAAAACCAACAGCAAATTACATTCACACGCTCTTAACGCAAATGATCATCGATGTAAAGAAGGTGATTTAC